TATCTGATATACATACATATATCTGTATAATGACATTCTAATAATGAACAGAAGCAACATGCGACTTTGTTATTGAAGTAATCTATTAAAGTATGAAACAATTCGTTAGAGTAATAGTTTCAGTGTTGTAAATAAAAACAGAGCATAGCAGTTATGAATATTATATATTAATATTATATATATGTGCATGTGTATATAGATACACATATATGTATTATGGTACACATACACATATATACATATATATTCAACTTTATAATAGGCTGAGAATACACATAATTTTTTATTTGCGATTCACTGTTACATATATATATGTGCCTAGTTCTATAGCCATGTTATATTATTACCTATTACATTGTATGATAATTTATAATCCAATACTATCGATTATAATAAATGTGTAATAAGTTCTTCGATATCAAACTCTACACGATATATTATTATGGCGTAACGTGTAAAGAGCTCATATTTAGGCATACATGAAATTTAATAAATCGGAATACATTTTATGAATTAACATGTTGCTAATGTCCTTGCTACACTTCTATTAATTTTACTTACGTCAAATATCCGTTATTAATTAAGGAAAAATTATACTCTTTCTCTGAGAAAAGTTATCGCGTAAAACCGTGCAATCTAAAGTCGAAATGATATAATGACTGATATGCTATTAATAACGTATATGAATTTACTACATTGTTATCGTCGATAAACGTTTATGTGTTTACTTTGATTTGTTAACAAGCAGGCACTTGGCTGAGTGCAATAAGCGGATTTCACTTTAGTGTTTTATCACCTTGATATTTTTTTTCTGCAAGATTATTTGTTTGGAATGACAGGCAACTTGCGTTCGGGTGACTTGTTATCAGAAATAGCTACTTGTAATATTGAATAATTTATAGCAACATATAAGTGCCAGTAAATATTGCATTTTTTTTCTTCGTTAAATAATTCTTCAGAGAAATGTTTAGTCATGGTCGTAATTTTAAAACCTGAAACAGAACAAAGTTGACAATATCTCCTTACATTTTTAACATGCAAAATGCAAAAAGAATAGAATTTTTTTCGACATCCAAAGTCAAACAAATTATACTACATATTTTTTATTTGAAATTTTTTAGACGCCTGCCAATTGTTTGTTCGTGTCAGTTAATCTAACAAAACCAATCGTTGGTGATTTTCCACTCTGCCTCACGCGTGACGTCTCGCGTTGCCACGCGTCGCAATTTCAAACGCCAGTGCGATGCGGCGCGCCGTGATTTCGCGTGCGTGGAGGCTTGTTACCAACGGATTCGACGCCAATCATTGGCTCGAGCGAGAGAGCGGTCGTGACGTCAGCAGCGGCGGAGAAGCGGCGATTGGTGTGCGAGTGAGTGGCGGCGGTGTGGCCGCGCGGTACTCCGGTGCAGCGACCGCATTCGGCGGATTTCGACGCGGTTGTCTGCTGGGTCTGCTGTGACAGTCGGTTCCGGCGGTAGCGTCCGAACGCGCGCGCCTATCGGCAGACAGACAGACGAACAGGCTTGGAGAACAAGTAGGCTAAAGAGATCAGCAGGCAGACCGCAAGCAAAAGCGACGCGATGTCCCCCGCCGAGCTGGACGAAACAGCTGTGAAGAACTTCCGCGAGTACCTGCGGATACCGTCGGTGCAGCCCAACATCAATTACGGTGAGCGATGACGAAATATTCGATTGCGCGAAATTCCGAAAAACGAGTTAAATGCGGGGAAAGAGAGAGAGAGAGAAAGAGAGAGAAAGACAGCCAGCACGCGCGCGATAACGAAATAGCTGAGCAACGTTTGTGTTTTAAAGCGTTCGAAAGCGGATAACTACAAGCGCGTCTCGTGTCTAATCGAAATGATAAGAAGAAAACGAGTAGAAAAAGAAGAAAGCCTTGATACTGCGTCCTGAAAAAAAAAGATACATATCCGTAAAGGAAACAGATGAAGCGGAACCCACGCCGTGACCAGCCGCGAACGGGGTCGTGAGGACACGCTCAACGACGCGTTTCCTTGTTAAGTAAATTATGCAATTCATCTGAACGTCCGCCGGCGAACCGTGAGATATTCGTCGGGAATAAAATCAGTGACGTCGGTGTGGCGCGTGGACGCGGAGATTGGACGCGAGGTGACGAAAGGGAGATAGCGTCGGTGACGCTATCCCAGCCATCGCGCCATGCCCCACCCTGCACGCGGGATGTTATTTCTATTTTTATTCCCATCTGTCCGGTCGCAGCACCTCGTCGATTTCGCCGAAACGTTCCGCGATGTCCCCGATGTCGGCCTCGGCCGCCTTTTTCCCGACCGAATCGCGAAAACGGCGAGTCTCGGCGTGACCCAGATCGAGGACGCCCGGCACTTTCCGTTTCGCCGCAGTTTTCGAACTGATTTTCTCAGTTTAATCCTCAGCGACGCTTGTAAATCGCAATTCGACGATATTTGTTGCGGGAGAAAAGGATATAGAAATTCAAGTTATGTAACTAATCGACAGGATTTTGTTTCGTGCGTCTGTGCGGTGTTGGAATTTATGGACGCATTGTACGCTTGATAAATTTATTCCAAGTTGTTTCTTGATAACAGAGATGCGACGAAAAATAAATTGGTACGTATTGATGAAGCAGATAAGAGGCGGAAATTATCAATTTTCTCAGTCGAGTATCTTGTCTGTTATTCTGATTATCAGATGATTGCTAGCCTACGATCTTTCCAAGGAATTTCTGTTATAAATTGTTATTAACACTAATTGAAGTAGAGAAATTGGATCATTCCTTCGAGAGATTGTGATACAAAAATGAAATGTTTACAGATTCAATACAACATGTTTGATAATACAATAAGTGGAATACATTCCTAAAATTTATTCTTCCACTTTGAGAATATTCTGTATGTATTTATTAATTAATTATTACAACAAATTTTCTCACTATTTAAATTATTTATGCTTGAGGTCAAAAAATATCTACATATAGAATATATATTTCGTACATAATATTCATAACATTGATTGTGTCTTTTGTTTCAGATGAATGTGTGGCCTTCTTAACTAGGCAGGCGGAATCCTTAGACTTGCCGATCAAAGTTTATCATGTGGATCCCAGAAAACCAATTGTGATTCTCACATGGGTAGGAACGCAACCGACGAAAACATCGATTCTGCTGAACAGTCACATGGACGTTGTACCGGTTTTCGAGGTAATTGTAATGTTGTATTAGTTATGCGTACTTATTATGTAAACAGAATGTATTACCATGTCACTTGTTATTCTATTGTTTACAAATTTTCTGATATTTATTAATACGACTGATGATGACTAGGACAAATGGACCTATCCGCCATTCAGCGCTCACATGGACGATAATGGCAATATTTACGCTCGCGGTAGCCAGGACATGAAATGCGTGGGGATACAATATTTGGAAGCGATTCGCAGATTAAAGCTGAACGGAGTGCGCTTCCAGCGCACCATTCATATGTCCTTCGTACCGGACGAGGAGATTGGCGGTGTTCTCGGAATGAAAGACTTCGTGCACACCGCGGACTTCAAAGCCCTGAATGTCGGTTTTGCGTTGGACGAAGGCGTGGCCTGTCCAGAAGACCACTTTTACATGTTCAACGGAGAGAGGTCGATCTGGCATGTGGAAATAAATTGCGCCGGCAATCCCGGTCATGGCTCCATTATGCTGGACAATACAGCTGGGGAGAAGTTGAGGGTCATTATTGATCGCTTCACAGACTTGAGGACCGTTGAAAAATCGAAACTTAAAGATCCCAAGATAAAGCTTGGCGACGTGACGTCTGTGAATCTTACGAAAATTTGGGTGGGTATTGCGCAAATATATTTTGTAAAGCAATTTTTATTGTCTAAAAGATGGAAAAATATGGATTTTTTTATATTTAAAAATTAGAAGCAACATTTAAAAAAATTTAATTTTGCATTGAATTTATGTATACAAATCTGATATAATTTTATATTGAAATATAGATCTTACTGAACTAATCAGAAAAATTATATTCTAATAGAATTGGCTCTAATTTTCAAATCATTACATGATAATTGTTTGTGCTTTACATGTCTGATTCATTAGGATTTTCATATTTCACAGTGAGTATTTCAATACTGCAATGTCAAATCGTTTGTGATGTTGATCATAATTTACTTGTGATATTCTCTACTTTACTATTCGTTGCAATTCAAATTTTATCATTCCGCATTTGTATTGTACATTTAACATTTGCCAATTCTAATGTATTAAATATATTGCTTATTTGCAGGGTGGTGTGCAAACGAACGTTATTCCTACTGACCTCACCGCTATGTTCGATCTTCGACTAGCGCCAACTGTTGATCACGAGGAATTTGAAGCTACCATCAAACGCTGGTGCGAGGAAGCCGGTCCAGATGTAACCTATTCATTCGAGGAGAAAAATCCCAAAGTCGAGAATACTAAGCTGGATGAATCTAATCCTTTTTGGATCGCCTTTAAAAAGACTTGCGACGAAATAGGTGTTAAATTGGAAATTGGCATCTTCCCAGGAGGCACAGATAGTCGTTTTGTGCGTGGAGTAAGTATCAAGTTGGTCTTTGTGTAAATTTTTTAATTTTAAATTTATTATGCATAGAAGAAATATATATCGTCGTCATTTTAACACTATAAATGCATCAGAGAAGTTTATTTATGCGATATTTGTGAAATTTGTACATCTTGTACCTTTTTATTTTATACCTTATTTTGCACACGAACTTTGTGTTCATCTAAAGAATTTTAGTTTTACAATTTTTATAAATTTTTTATTTTATATAATTTTATTTCACATTTCTGTAAATTTTCTTTGTAGTTTCTTTGTATTTATATTTGAAAATAATATTATGAATAAATTAAATATTGTATAATATTTTGTTGGCTATAATATATAGATTATAGATATACATACGCTATGATTTGTGATTCATGATATAACTTTGGATATTTTTATTTTACAGGTAGGCATTCCTGCTCTCTGCTTTTCACCAATGAATAGAACAAAGATACTTCTTCACGATCATGATGAATATCTTAACAAAGATATATTCTTGAAGGGAATAGAGATATATATCAAGATAATACCGGCTGTTGCAAACGTTTAAATGCGTTTAAATGAAAATATACAATATATCATAATACTGCAAGTGCCATAAAAAGCTATTTGATGCAATGCAATTCACTCGGTAATTCTGCCAGTGATGATGAGATTGTATATCGAATCTCTTGAAGTTGAGATACTACACGCTGTTATACGTGCAATAATATGTTAAGTCATATATATATATACTTCTACATACAGATTATATATTATATACATATCAACGTTATACAATTTCAAGATTTTATTATTGTTGGATATTCGAGAGGCTATTTTCTATATATATTGTAATACGAGAAATGAAGAAAGATATAAATATTTACGAAGAAACGGCAAGTTGCAATTTAACAGAGATTGATAAATGAGACTAAAGAAGTCAAAGTAACGTACAGACTGATAATAAATATTTAAGAGATATAAAATATTGTTAACACATAAAAAAATGGAAATATGAAGGCGAATGTGTGAACAACGATGGCATCAGGACAGTATAAAATTCAACGTGGTGGGATAATCGTCCAATATGAAAATCAAACGCACAAGAAAGATTTATCTGCATAGAAAATATATGAAGACAAGCTTGCTACGAATAAAAACCAGTGGGACCAAAGTAATTATATTATGTAAAACAGATTTTTGCTACAGCAGCCACCAGTGAAAATATGTATACTGATGTTATTACAACGAAATATTTTTATAAAAATTAGAAATATACGTATTTTCAATGGAAAATGAAGTTTAAAGCACCGATGGAAATGAAGCAATTAACGTGTATGTACATCAAGGTAATTACTAAAAAGATTAAAGTATTATGAAATGTTATAATACATCTTTTAATCAAGTATTGCAGAGAAATGTATTCAAAGGTAAACCAGTATCATGAATAAAAGCATGGAAAAATATATATATATACACACAAGAAATATTTTGCATCTAAAAAACCGTCTATTGATTTTGGAGGTAATAAACATTGAATGAACAACTATCGAAGTAAGCTTTGAGAGGAGAGATAGAAAAAGAGAAAAAAAAAACTATTTTCCGTTAATTCTCGTCGTGTGGAGCGAAGAAGAGAAACGGAGAGGAATGTAAGGTGACCAAAGTGCGCGGTGTGTATTTATCTATTTAAAGTCAATAATTTCCCGTGTGTACTATACGTGTGTACAGCACCTTCCCGCCATTATCGCATCGCGTAGTGTTTCCATTCTTAATGGTGGAGCTGCTTGACTCCCCTCCGTAGTGGCGCAATGGACTCGTCCATCCGTTTTCAGTCTCGTTCACGGGACGACGATTATTCGTGTTGACGATCAGAGTTCGCGGGCGGCTCGGCGTGGGGCGTAGTGAAAAAATCGCATGAATTTTCTCGACCGGCCGACAAGAGGAGTTATGTGCCGAAATACGTATCGTCGCGTTGAGTGACTTGCCGCGCGCGCTGTATTGTTTGGGTTCGGCCATTTTCGAGTGGGGAAGGTTAGGGAGTGAGCGATAAGCGTTCGCGCCGCACGCCGGGAGTGTATACAAGAGTCGTTGTCGTTCGATATCGCGCTGGCGATCGACAGTGCTTGCACGCCCGTGCGTCCATGCAGCCGCAATCGTGCGACGTGAGGCCGTAAACATCGCCGCGCAAATCCGCCTTTGTCAGCCATGTGCATTGCGGCGCATCGTTCAAAACGTTCTCGCACCCCCGTGGCAGTCGGCCAATGCGGCGCCGAGCGCCGTAGCCACGTGACTACGGTCGGCCAATCGTGGTGATGGGATTTGAAATCGTGCGTGGTCTTTGTTCACGGGCCTGCTCGTTGCCTCAGTTCCGTCAAGGGGCACCCGTGTCGGTGTTTCGTTTATACATGGTCGCTGCCGAAAATCGTGCGACTCGTTCGCTTAAATATATGTGTGAAAGTGGTGGATACGCGCGACAAGAGCAGCTTGATTCGGGGATCGTCGAGCATACGGTGTCGATACACGGTAGGTCCACGCGCCGTTATTTACCTTCGCCTCGGCAATAGTAACCGCGAAAAAGTGTTATTGTCTCGTGTAGCCTCTCGCGGGCTCCGATCGACAGTTCGTTTATTCGTACGTTCGTTCGTTCGCTCGCTCGCCGGCGCGCGCGCTCTCCATCTGTCAAGAACGAGATATATATCGGCGCGAATTAAACACGAGCCAGAGCGATCAACAATGTTCTTTGTTTTTTTTTTGTTTTTTTTTCATCTCTCATTTTCGAGCCTCGTCCGCTCGTCCGTGAGAGTGAACGTGCACGATCGAAAAATACCGCCTGTCACGTCTGACGTTCCTCTTCCTCTTGTGTCGCTGGTATTTTTGGTCGATCTTCACGGAATGCATGCCTCGCTTTCGATATCTATGATTATAATCGGTCAGTAGCCGGGGAGTACAAACAATACGAGTCTTCCCTCCACCTCGTGTCACATACTCGTGGCGTGAATGAACGGTTCACAGGCGCGGGAGTACGGTGCCCTAAGTTTCGGCGGGAAGAGTGAGTGCGTGCACGCAGAGCGAGGGAGAGAAAGAATGAGACATAAAGAACGAAGAGAGAAAGCGTTATCTGTTGGGATTGAGAATTCTTAAGGTTTCGAGTACAAAAGCGAACGATAGATTGCCGAAGCAATGCACTGAATATCGAATGCACGGGATAAACAAAAACAATAGAATTAGATATGCGTGCACGTTTGTTTATGTTATGTAGGGTGGAGTGAAAGACGGGGTGAAGAGAAAGACGGGGTGAAGAGGAAGACAGGGTGAAGAGAAAGGGCATAGAGGGAGGGGTAAAGAAAAGGGAGAGGGAAAGAAAGCGTTATGCATTGAATAATGTGCAGTTTCCTCGAGTGCCTGATGAACAAATGAGTAAATGTGTAGATCATACTAGTTATAAAAAAAAAAAGAAGAGTACAAGTGTGAGTGACTGCAGTAATAATATGTAAATATCTGAAAGAAAGGAGGGGGAGAATATAAAGGGGGAATAAAGGTGCGCGTGTCTCGTAAGTAGAGTAGAAAAAAGAGAAAGAATAAAGGCACCACGTGCTTTGTGCCGACAATTAACTTGATTCTTGAATGCATGTGGCTTTCTCACAAAGGACTTGCGCAATCTAAAACAACTGAAAAATTACTTCAATCAATTTCAATTGAATATTGGAATAATGGGATATCTAGAAGGAAAAATTTAATTTTATTGCGAGATACTTCTAGAGATTTCTAAGAATTATCAAGAAGAAATAAAATTCGAAGATGTTGAAAATAAAGCGGTTAGTCTCAAAGATTTCTCTTGCGCATTCAGGAATTAAAATTGATTTCATGTGACGATGGTTTTCTTTCATTGAATTACACGGAATCGTCTCGATCGGGAAATGGTATCGAAATATTTGTTCGTGTTTAAATTTTGATTTTTTACTTTTACGTGGTACTCGAGCGTAACTCTGAAAATTAAAATTTGGATCGACGGAGAATATATTTTCACGAAACGCGGAATCTACAAATTCGTCGTAGATGTCTGTCTGTTGATTCGCGCGCGCGCAATTTTCTAATTTCCACTCTCATTTCGGGTTTCCCTCTCCCTCGCGGATCCATCGACGTTGTGTATACAAGCCTCGCGACGTTTCCCGCGTAATTATTATCCGGAGCCAACGGTGGCGGTGGTCCGTCGTCGTCGCCGAAACCGCCAACGGCGATATCGATTTCCGTTGATAGCCACGAATAGTAATTTCGCGCGGATCGCGAACGTTAATTGGCCGCCGCCGTTCGCGGAATAACGTTCTTCGTCATATTCTCGTCTCATTCGTTTCCTATTCGGACTCCTTCGCTTGACGATTATTTTTTCGACCATTTTTTTGTCTTTTTTTTTTACCAATTACAGCCTACAAATTCTCGAGTAAGATACTTAAGAAGGGAAATTCAGCGGTGGTGGCCGAAAAATGCGACTGAAGAATAGGAGCAGTTTGAAAATGCGTATACAGCCTTCGCGCACAGGCAAGGACGGAAAGGAAGAACACGGGAGAGAAAGGAGCGAGAGGGAAGGGCAGTCCCTCGAGCACTTTCCAGTCGCGCGTCGCCGGGAAAGCTATTGACCGTGAGAACCTTCCGGGAAACCCACCGTACCCCCGAATCCCTTCTGACGCCCCTCTTTCTCGCCATATGCCCACCGCAGGAAACGCACGTTCTGCAAGCACGACCGAAATTCTTCCTTTTCTCTACCTGTCGTGCCGTGTCTTGCACTCTCGCCGTAGTATTTTGCTCTTCTCGTGTTCCCGGACGATTATTTGTGCGAGAAGACTGAGAAAAGGAAGACGCGTGCGGCGCAGAGAAAGGAAGAAAGCACAACGGAATGATGAAACGTCTTTTCTCGCAGATAATTTTTTTTTTTTTTTTTTCGTTTGTCGCTCGCCAAGGGTATTCGCGGCAGAAAGAAAATGGTCAGGAAAATATTTTTTTTTCCAGGAATACGCACAGGTAATGCGACGTTGCATATTTCACACGAAATCTTTTTATTCCGGCACCGCTAATGCTGCTTCTGATGCATCCGTGCGACAAACTCGCGCGACTCTTTCGGCTCCGGAATAATTCTGTTCCGGTACGTTTGTTAAAAACGCTGTTTCAATGCGCGTTTAATTCTTTTTTTTTTATAAAGAGCTCATTATATCACTTTTCATTCCGTAGTCATTATGTGCGGTGACTCGCCGAAAGTTTTTTCTCTACGTGTGTACAGGAACATTGGAATTTATTAGTCGAGAAACGAAATCTCATTTACTATAATGTTTACAGATGTGTTACGTCATGCGATGAAGTTATGCATTTCGACACACAAAAGAAAGTAGTACTAGAACAAAGTAGCGTTTCAGGGCGCATTTCGTTGGGTCTCAGTCGTGAAAAGGCTAATCTTCGACTTCCATCGGCTTTCAATGTAACGAATATCAGTATTGATTTCTTCAAAAAGATACGATTGCAGTGTTGCACATAATTCATGGCCGCAAAGAAGTATCGCTATAAACACGCTTATCGGATGCTGCACGCGACAAACGCGATAAAACTTGAATGCATCTAATTTTAATTCTGGCGGATAATTTATACCGAACGAACATCGACAAATATAGATTTTTATTAGATGCTCTGAGGGCAAATTTATATAGTCGATTGCTTTTAAATATATATAAATATAATTTTTTATTTATTAGTAAAATAATATAATGCTTGATTCTATTATGGAGAAAAAATATAATCCTTTTTTTCCAGAGATACATTTACTTATTTATTACATTTTATACCTTTCTGTTATAGATAATTTATTAGATTAGAAAGCCATTGAGATATGGCGAGAAAAAGAGAGCGAATCCTAAATAAACTCAACTGTAACATCCTTGCATTTCAATTCAAGTCTCCGCGGCGCACCGACGGAATCAGCTCTTTCATCGCGAAACAAATTTGCGAAACAATCGACAATTTTCGCGCCGTTGCAATGCGAGTCTCCCCAAGTCTTTCGTTTTAGCGATGACGCGAGAGCGAGAACGCGAAATGGAAACATTTGCCGGCCCACTTTCGCAGCGTTCGGATAACACCGAGGCGAAGCAAGTCTCGAAGATTTTAACGGGTTACCTAATTGTCGATTTTCATTTTGAACGTTTAATCGACGTTTAACGCTAAGCACACGTCCGATTCTATCGTGCAGTTTTGCAATATAAAATTATGCTAAAAGTTCAATATGAAAACATAAATGGCATCCGCGTTTTGCTGCTCCGCCAAAATTAAATTTTGCAATGACGAAAGTTATTCATAATACGACCGACTGATTTTTTTCCACCGCTTGACGCGAATGTGCGAGGAACACCACGATTTGTGCGTGTTGAAGGTACATTGAGAAACGCGCTCCGTTGTAGATTCGCATGTACATTCGGTTCCGCGGTAACATGCGAAATTTTGCAAGAGTAGGCCCGCGCGATTGGCTCATCCGCCTCGCTAGTGAAAGCAAAAAGTTTCCAAGTCTGAGGCTTATCGAATTAGCAGCGTAGACCGGACTAGTAAATACACCGTGAGATCGACATTAAAGCTAAAGAGAAGTTTATTTCAAGTGCGCGATTACGCGGTCTTTCGTAATCAAGTTGGGCAAGTATCGTTAATGCATAAATCTCTCTCGGTCTTGATACTCTCATTTACGTCTAAAAAGTTGAAGAGATTATTTACAGATATTGTCGAAAATTCGACGCGGAACGTTTTCCATGCGTAGCAAAACAATCGAAGTAATTTGTGTGCGCAGTCTGAGGCGCTGTGATATAACACTTTGTTTAACTAATTACGGTAAGTATGTATTACAGGCTGGCGTTGTGAATTAGAAAGGGATAGTTCGTTGCTCCTTTCTAAATCATAGCTCTCGTGCTACAATGCGGATAATAGAAGAAGAAATATCACTCGGACACACGATGAGCGCACCAATCGATATTAACGCGGCGTAGCCACGACCAAAATACGTTCTAAATACAACATTTGTCATCGGAATATTTACGTGACATGAATAGGTTATATGTTGAAACACGATTGGAAAAGAGAAAAGGAATGAAATATGTAAAACTTTTTGAAGAGAAAAAGTAAAAAATGTCCGAACTAATTTTCTGAAATTTGTAGAGTATTTTATCAATTTTAGCATCATACACGAACAAAATCTGATGGGAAGCATACGTGATTATCAACATTTCAGCGTGCATCAACGGCGGAATTTTTTCGCGCCAATTCCGTGCGGCCACGTGTGTACGTCGATACACACATAACACGTCACATTGTGTTCCCATTTCGTCCCGTTTAAATGATACACATCGATATTAGGGATATTGAACACTATTATAGTCTCGCAACGGATTTGAATAAATGATTTCAGCAATGAGAGTTACATTTAAGTTAAAAGTTTAAAACTGAACATCAAAACACGTTCTTAATTGAGTTTTTAAGAATAGAAAAAAATTTTGTAAAAATTTAAAATATGTTTTTTAACGTCTGTCTTCTTAGAATTGAATTCTTTCGTCTGGGACGTAATTGTTTTTATAAATGCAACAGATTTTCTATACAAAACTTTTTTCCGTTTATCTTCAGCACAATTTGTATCTCTGATGTATAAGTTATTACTAAAAATGTGAAGAGTAATTAATATATCATTATTATTAACGAACACTCTTATAAATGAAAATTGAAATATTTCAATCTCTTTAACACAATACTCGACATCGATCTTTCTATTTACGAAGAGGACAGTAACATTGGTTCGCCTCTCTAGTGGCGAGCGATGTTTAAGGTTTAACGAGCGGTCTACATTAGGGAATCGTAAGAGGCGAAGGGGATCGAGGGGAGAGGGGGGTAAATTTTCAAACGGATTCCCGAGAAGGGGGTAGAAGAGAGTTAGAGGGTGCCACCCTAACGAACCCGGGCGCGGCATTGGTGCACGCTGCTACGCGCGGGGTGCACATTCTTGCAGCTCGCAAATGCTGCCCGTTCCACGGCTGCCAGAGGGGAAGGATACGACAAGGGCGGACACGACAAGGGGGTGAGGAAAGGGCCGGGGGAAAAAGGGGGGTGGCGTATCAGATCGATACTCGGCGAAAAGCGCGGGCACAGAGCAGAAGCCGGCGCAACTCCGTGTGTATCTACGGTTGGTCCATCCGACAAGATCCGATGCTGCGAGACCACGCACAATCTATAGATGGAATATGCGAATCGATGTCGGATATATGAAAGAGTTGGGAGGGGGGAGGCGAGGGGGGGGGTTGTTTCCCTTCGTTTGAACCGCATTGCGCCTCGCGCTTGAAATGAAATAAACGTGCACATAAATCCGTGCAAATAAATTCTCTAGACAACAACATGTACGAGAGCGCCGAAATCGATGTCCGCGTCTTCTTGCAACTGGCGTCCTTCCGCGCCGATTTCCAGTGATATTTCTGTCGCCGGGAAGTACTCTCAAAATTTTAAATGCGATCGGCTATAAAATGCTATTTAAAACTTTTCTTTCGACAAATATAAGCGCACAATTCTCCCCCGGCATTCTTCTCGTCGGGAATTTTGTCCTTATTATTTTAGAATACGAAGAATATTAATGTAAAAACAAACGGGGAAAATAGCTGCGGAGGGGCGAGAGGGGGGAGAGTGTTATGAGTCTGCGAGTATAGTATAAATCGACTGTAGTACTATATGAGTTAGTCACACCCACAAGCCGGTTGTAGGTTCAAGATCCTCGCACGTCTCTCTCTCTCTGCCGCCCCCCCCCCCTTCCCTCCCTCTCTGTCGCTCTCTCACTCGCTCTTTCTCTTTCCCTCTATCTGTCTACGAAAATGATCGATCTACGAACCGCGTGCTAATCCAAAATACTCTCCGGCTGCCGCTTAAAAAAAACACGTGCGTACTGAAATATGAATTTGTTCTGAGCGGTGGGAAGAAAGAGGAACAATGCCAAATTTTTTTAGAAAGATCCCAGCAGCTGCGGGATAGGTATGTGAAGCGCGTAGATGGATATAATACTCTGCGCGCGCGCAATGTGTGTCTTATTATACATACGATAAAACAAAAAATATCTAATGTAACAATATAAATAAATGTATTAAATATTCGAGAGACCCGTAAAGATAATATTACCGCGTGATATAAGGCTAGATTTTTCGTGCAGCTGTAAAGGAGTGTAATTTTACCGAAATCGATGCGGAACTTTCGGTTACGACGACGTCGCATAAATAAATAACAAATTATTTTCGAAGAATAATTGGCGTTTTATAATTCGACTACGTTATATTCGGTTGACGATACGTTTTTTCAAAATACCCGTTCATCTCTTTGCAGTCAAGTGAATGGAACTGGACACGATAAATGTGTATAGCAGCGCGGGGATGGAGCGGGAATTGTCCAGCGATCCGTGGGACTGCCTATTCGGCAGTGACAGCATCTCCGACGCCTTCCAGGATCATCCTGATATGTTTCACATGGACATCCGCCGTTGCGACAGCATAGGTCGATTCGGCTGGAGCCACGGCTTCGACTTCGGTGACGTTCTGACCGAAGCCGAAGACAATCCGATCGGCTTCAACGAAAAGAGCTACAGTTCGAACAGGTGAGGCCCGGATATCGCATTATTAATGCTGAATGTGATTTGAAAAAAAAAAAAAAATTAATTTGTGTAAAATTATCAAAATAAAAGTTATTTAAAAGTTCAAGAATCAAGAATTTGAAAGAAAGTTCGTTCAGTTTAATAGTTTAGGTTTATTTAAGGAAAGATTCAAATCTATCTCTCTTTCAAACAGCAATCTGGAGGAACTGCATCTGGACAGCGACAGTGAGCTGGCGTTGACACTGGATCCGAATCTAATATTGCCGCGCAACATGTCCATGCCGATCCGCAGCCCCGTGTCGAACGGCGAAGCGGCAATGTTGGAGACGGCGAGCGTGGAGGACGTAGCCGGCCACGAGGAGGAAGAAACGGAGAACGAAAGCGAGGCCGAGCGTACCGAAAACGATGAGGAAAGCGGCGAAGAAGAGGAGGAGGCCGAGAACGAGGAGAATGAACTGAATCGAACGGAGTATGAGACGGAGGAAGAAGAAACGGAGGACGAGGAGGAGGAGGAGGAGGAGGAGGAGGAGGAGGAGGAGGAGACGGAAGACGATGAGCAGGACGGGATCGGTCAGCGATCGCTCACGCCGTCGAACGTGGAAGCGCCAACGTCGTTGTCATCGTCGTCAGCTGGCATCGCCGCCAGGACTCTAACCGCCACTTCGTCGCCGACGATACAGCTGACGAGGATGCAGATACAGCATCCGAAGATGAGCACCGTGTCGAGCACGGTGAAGGTGCACGACATCAAGGTGCTGGCCGCCAGCCCGGGCAACCAACCGTCGCAGCACATACGCAAGCAGATCTACAACAATAATTTGCACGACGTTAGCCCAGGCGCGACGACGGTAATGATACAGACGAAACGCGAGAAAGAGCCGGTGGTGGGACACCGTGACAATCCTTACCCGAAGCCCGCGTACTCGTACTCGTGTCTCATCGCCATGGCGTTGAAGAACAGCCGGACAGGATCGTTGCCGGTCTCCGAGATCTACAATTTTATGTGGTGAGTGTTTCACAAATTTATTACGCCATCTGTGCTACGACCGAATACTTGAATAATTTAGTGTAGCTTAAAATTCTCAACTTATCTTACATTACAAGATAAATTATTGCTCATCGACAATTAACTCGTTCCGCTTATCGAATATACGATGCGAAAAGAAATTGGATCGATACCGGGATTACTTTTTTGTAATTCTCGTTTGAATAATTTTTTTTAGAAAGTCGGTTCTTTTCGCGAGTAATTTTACTCAAACTTTTGATAGGTTAGGCTGAAAATTCACTAGATGCGTATCATGTTTCGTTATCGCCAATGATCGCGAGTGTAGCGCAGTATTACAAATTGATATATTTTCCGTTTGACAAATAACGAACAATTTTTTATTTGATGTACAATGTGTCGTCCGTCCGTTTATTTTCGGCCATTTGGCCGGAAGGACAAGGGGGCTGCCGAAGCCCCTACTTTTAGGCTACACGAGGGGCAAAAGTATTGTCTTTTCCCTCTTTATTCTCGGATTTTACGCAGGGAGAAAGGGAGCTAAGCGAGGAGCTGCCATTTTGTACGGGGCCCTTGGAATAACCAAGGCCGTGTCGGGGTACAGTCCCCCTAGAAATCGACGGCAGGCCCCACTCTCTTCGCGTTTACCATCTGCCTTCATTTCTGGCCGTCGCTATAACTCTAACACGCAGCTCATAAAATAAATTACAGTCTCCGTAACTTTGTAGCCGCATTAAATTGGACTTTGATTTTGTTAAGTGAACACGTTGAGACGTTGTGGATTTACAATTTATTTTTCCTATAACAATACCCGTTTCGTAACAGTATTCGAAAAAAAAGTGATTTTTCTGGAAAAAATTAACGCAATTGACAATGCGATTTGTCGTATTTCGGGAGCTATTTAATATTAACAAAATTTACTGGAATTTGATGTAAATTTTATTAGACTTTTTTTTGAATCACATTTATTTGGATAAATTTAATCGACTCGTTGATAAAAATTTTATAAATTTCGTTAGAAATAGTCAGTCTAAACGAGCGAAGTAATAATTCTTTCACGCTAACAAAAATATTCAACATTTGATCCGCGCGAATCTGATTTGATATTTTCCTTTTTCGTTCACGTACAGCCGACACTTTCCGTACTTCACAACTGCGCCGAACGGCTGGAAGAATTCTGTGAGGCATAATCTGTCGCTGAATAAATGCTTCGAAAAGATCGAAAAACCGCCGGGTAACGGCAGTCAGCGGAAGGGTTGCCTGTGGGCGATTCATCCGACGAAAACGGCAAAGATGGACGAGGAGGTGCGAAAATGGTCGAGGAAGGACCCAATGGCGATCAAGCGGGCCATGGTGCATCCCGACCATTTGGAGCTCCTCGAACGGGGTGAAATGAAGTACGAAGGGGACGATAGATACGATGAGATGTACGAAGACGCGGAGAGTTACGGGGGATCGGAAACAGCCGGTTCGGCGGAAGACGAGCCGATGAACGACGAGGAGAACGTTGCGTACGACGATACGAAGAACGATATCGACATCGTCGATGACGACATCGTTGTGGAGCATCTTTATGAGGATATCGACCTCGTGGATGCCGCCGAGCTGCTTGACACGCGACTGAGCGACTTCCCTAAGCAGGAGGAGCCCCTCGTGTACGAGGTGGTGTCGTGCGCGAAGCGCCAAAAGACGCTCTCGACTTCGCAGACCGATTATGTCTACCAACAGGTCGATGCGTCGCCCCGGCGAAAAGCGCACCTTGTCGCGCTACGGAGCGGAACCGCTCCGGGCACCGGATCGTTCCTCGAGAGCGATTAGATCTAGATATTGTACAATCGATGCGACACGCGAGGTGTACTATACCTTTTTTTATTACTAGAATAGATTGTAAATAATTGTGTACTCTACTTTTTTATACAAGTTTGTACATAATTGCGTTTTATATAATAATGTATTTTTTTTATACAGCGCGTTAGGAATATTGTAAATAATTGTAGTTTTTATGTGTACAAATATGTGTACATAATATATATTATGTACTATATATAATATATACAATATGTAGTATATTCACTATAGATCATATGTACATAATATGTACATAGTATGTACATATAATTATAGTATATAATTATAGTATATATAATATATATATATATATGCCATTTATATAATATGTACTACGTATATAATGTACAAAGGCTGTTTTTTTTAGAGCCGTGATATGGGACCAGTCGCGTAGACACAAGCGCGCAAGTTTTTAGGTTTGAATGATGACTCAATATTATTTTACGTGTACATGTATGTATATTGCACATGTGAATGAGAAAAATTCCAAGGAGGGCTGATTGAACCGAAAACCCGCGATTTATTGTTGAATGATTGCGGTACCACCGGCAATCATTACTGCTTTCCATTTAAGACATTTCCGAGTCGAACGCATCATATTTACAAGTTAGACGACTTATGAGCGTTCGATACGCGACTAAGATAAAATTGATTGAATTAAAAGGAATTCTTAATGCGATTAAATAATAAGATATACTCAGTATTAATCTAATGAATAAAAAATATAATTTTGGACTTTTTAACCAACAGTTATGACGCACAAATATTTAGCGCTAAGCTATGCAGGTCCCACGCACTAATCTCGCCTACATTTTTTAATGGCGCCACTGCGATTTTTTAAATATTTTTCGACGATTATTAATATCTCGGTTTTTTTTATCCATGACTCTTGAAAATATATAAGAAACAGACACAAAGATAAGCGTCTCAACTTCCTAATACCGTCCGCAGTAAGGGAGTAAACTAATTAAAAAAGCAAAAACGAAGCTCGCAACTTGTCACTGCCAAGAGTGTCGAAGATAAGAATACGAACATAGCGTTCACGTGTATAGATTACAGTAAAGACAGGACATATGATCTCACGCCGATCTTTCAAGGAGTATATAATTTATTTATTGCTACTCCTCGCGTTGATTATCGCGTAAAACTTTCGAAAATCATTTTTTATACAATCGTTACATTCATCTCTTCACGAAGGTATTTTTATGTATTATATATGTATTGAGACTAATATTACTAATTAGTACTAAGACTTGTCTAACTTATTTTCATTGATATTGTCAATTTCCGAAAACCATTTTAAAATTATTCCCAATTCACTGATAATTTCACTATTGAAAGGTTAATTTCATTATCAAATTCTGCCGACTTTTTAGGAATATTCTGCACATGAATTTGTCTTAGCAAATTTGAATTTAATGAAAGATTGGCTACGAATTTGTTAAAGATTCCGCGACTAAATATATTCATCCATATATCACGACGGCGTATCATTGCATTTATATATAAATCGTTCGTTCGAATGTGAATTTCATTCCACGCGAGACCAAGCTCCGACGCTTACAATGCTTTAGATAAGCGAGAAAACAAATAGGTGACACGGAATGAGCGATAGCGTAAGATAGCAGTTCATAAGTTAGTAGCGTAGTTTTTGTACCTGTTTTGTAATATTTCTATATGATAATGAGTGTGTAATGTTCGGGTAGATGCACGACATTAATGCGTAAAAATGATGTATATGTGCAATGACTGCAATTTGTAATAAAACGCTGATAAGCGCATTTGAATACGTTCGCTCGCGATCATTTCCTCTTGTTTTTTTTTTCTATTTATCATTTCATTATTCAAATTGATGAACTAATGAACAAATTGACGCACTGAATAATAATTATAATAGATTTATAATTATCGCGCAGTTCATTAATTTCTTCATTAATTTAACTTATTAAATTATTATTTATGTACTCGCGACTTATTTATGCACACATACATGAAGCGATTAATGTCCCGGCAATCTTTTGATAAGTTTTCTCTATCTAACATTCATACATTTGTCGTACAAATATCATCTCTGCGCTCAATGTTTTAGCTTCACGATTATAGGACGGCCTTTGAATCATTTTCACCCGCTTACGTAATCCGGTATGAGAAAAAAAAGAGGGGGGGGGGAAACAGGGTTGAAACGCGGGGCGCGTCGACATCTGCATATGCGCTTATCGATACGCAACCACACGCGTGTTGTCCACACGCCGATTACGTACGATCGGCGATAACCAGTTTAACGCGCGGAGCTCTGTCTATTGAAACAAACTGTGTGCGATTCACATTCGGTTCGCTTTACAGAGAAAGAAAGAACGAAAGAAAGAGAGGGAGGAGAAGGCCCTGCGCCAATGAAACCGGTTTCTCGGTCGAGCTGCGATCACAAAGAAGTCAGCTCACGCGAGATCACCGCGGCCAGTCGGTCGGCTTCAGGGTTCATCGTGATTCTTATTCGAAACAATTTTCCACCGTCTTTGTATCGGAAATTCGCCGCGCTTCTCGCAGTTTCTTTATTCTTCCACTCATCGGAAAGAGTGACGCGAGATTCAGATTACATTTCCGCCGTATTTTGTATACACAAATACAGAATCGTGATGTACAAAAAATTTGTCCTGCGTCTTTCTTTGTGCTTCGTTCTTTCGATGCCTTTGTTCTGCGGCGGCTAGAAAAAATTTCTCTTTATTTCAGTCTAAAATTTCGGAACGAAGAAGCGAATTATTAAAAAGCATTTATTAATTGCTTTTGCGTGTTTCCACTGTTCGATTAACTGCTTTTGTTACGCTCCCTTGAAATCGATGAATGTGTTATAAATGTTCTCTCCTTCCCTCCTTCTCTTTGCCTTCGTTCGAATTGGTCTCTGTATTTTTTGTAAAAGCCATTTTGCGCCGTTCGTTGTTTTTCTCTCTCTTTTTTTTTTTTTTTTTATACCTTTTCCCAGACGGCAATTTTTCCGTTTTCAACGAACATCGTAAAAGCTATGAAACACGCATTTACTTAGGTTCGTTTCATTAAGCTTGACTATAAAGACAGTATTTTGCGTGTCGGTTGTGCATAGGCATTCCACAAATGTACACCGCACGCCCTACCTTCCATCCTCCTCCTCTTTTATGATTCCCCTCCTTCACGCTATTTATCAGTTGCATCGTGCATCGTCGCAGACGTTTCGTCAGGTGTTTCAGGTACCGGCGTAACGCTCGGAATCGGTTCGCGATTGCGAAGAGCCCGAGGGCTGATCAGCGAAGATCAGACAACAAAGAACGGATTTCTAAAAAAAAAAGAACAAAGTTTTCTTCACTTATTTAATTTTCTTTTTCAGCGTGTCAATGAAAGTAAAAAATCACACAGTCAGGTTACAATGTATAATCAAGGTATTAATATTTCCTGCGTCTGACACGCGATCCATCGATTCCTTTTGTTTCCTTCGTGAAATAATATCGAGCCATGTAATTAATTACATTAAAAGACAAAAGTATGTTTTTGAAATATTACTGAAATTTTTTTAAAAGTTCTACTCTCTTCGTCAGACGAGATATAATTTAATTACGATGTAAATTAAATATTCATATTGAAATTGTAATCGAATTTTGCTTGTATTACGACTTTTTAAACGTGCCGTGTAAAAAAGTAATATCATCTACGAGAAAATCCGAAATTATTTGTTACGCAACCTAAAATATTGCGATCTAACTCCACTCGACATGATTGATGCAATTTAATTGTCAAAGCCTTCATATGTGCACGGAATCGTGTCGCTTCTTCTTCGCTGTTCCCTTTGCTACGCCCTTGATCGTACAAACCTCTACGGCGATTCAAGTACGAGCGAGGTTTCCGAAAATTCCCACGTTATCTCGTAACCTTATCGACATAGTATTACGAATACAATACTGAATAAATACAGCGATTAACGGCGTGTCTCACTCATCAAGCAAGGCCGATAGTTTTCGATATAGCGCGTGACCTCGTGACGACGTACACATTGTCACACGCAACAGCAAAAGAGAACGAGAGGGGAGAGGGAAACATACATCGAGGATCTTGAACTCACAATCGGCTTGTGGGTGTGACTCGTAGTACTACAGTCTATTTACTATACGCACGGAATAGTATTACCCCCTCTCTCTTCTCCTTTACTTTCTTTTCAAGCCTTTTCTCTCTCTTTCTTACTCCTTTCTCCTGCTCTCTCTCTCTCTCTCTTGTCTTTCCCTCTCCATTAAACTCTTTTTCTTTGTCACGCTATTTTGGGTCGAGAAACAAGAGACCTCGTGCGACTAAGGGGTTTATATGATTCTATGTACGTATTCTATGCGTACGTATGTACAATACACATTGCAATATAAAGTGTGCTACGAAGTTGTCTTCTTATCCGACTTTGTGGATACCTTCGCGCGAAATTAATAAAAAACGAAAAATTTTTCATAATTTCTAGCTAAATTTGATTGTTAAATATCGTCTTCGGATATAAGTAGATTCCTAGCTAAATTTTTGTCTCTCCTATTTTAAAGAAATTGTGTATTATATTTAGGAAACGGCATCGCGAGGAGAAATAATACGCGGATTATACTTGCTTGCCGCGTGGTGTTTTTCACAACACCGTGTATATTATGAGTCGAGTGATGCTTGCGATAGTCTGGTATACTACGTATGCCGAGTTATCAGCTGCATCGGAGGAGGAAAGAGTTACTGAACCTGCACGACGCATCGTACAACGTGGTATATTCTTCATAACGAATTCGTAATAATTCTTTATCATAATAATTCCATCAACGATTTTAAATAAGAATGAAATTAAAAATAATAATAATGTACATGTCGCGCGCGCGAGAAAACTTTACCCATATTTTAATTAATATAAATTGTAATGCTAATAAAAACGTATCTTGTACTCTCTTCTGGTCTTACTTTCTTATTGTCTATTAACCACATATGCAACTTTGTTAATGATAATAATAACCATATAATATATTAATAGTAATTAAAATATTCAAGTGCTATAATAATTACTTATTATTACAAAATTCCAAGAACATATTTGGTATTAATTTAGGTGTTTTCATAAAAAGATTCAGTTTTGAGTAAAATGGTCTTTTTCAGTTTTCTAAAAATTTAATTTCACAAAATTTGTATTGAGTAATTTGTTGTAAACAAGCATACTCTTTGGACCACCCCAGCGTGGCCGTAGATAAGTTAATCTTACTGAATGGGAATTCTTGCGGAGCAAAGAGAAAAAGGAAGAAATGGAAGAAGCTCCAAGTTGAGTCGACGGGGTATATATAAAGGAAAAAGAAACGAAACGCATACTGGCGCATTATGCTCGGCAGACGTCGTAGGCGCGATTCCCCACCTAACTCGTCGTCTTTTCATAGCGGAAGAGAGGGGTGAGCAAGTGCATCTTAGACACAGAACCAGACTTAAAAACTGACGAAAATAAAGCGCGGTCAAAGGGGTCCAAGGTTGTTATTCCAGCGCTAATGAAATCGGATGATCGCATATGCGCTCATCTCTTAATATCGCTTTTGATTACTCTGATAGGAATTTTCCAATGTTCTCGAGTGTTTATTACTTACAGCTACAGACGTCCCGTCGCATCCAAAAACACGAATAATGGATGTTCCATCGCTTTCAAGGTGTTTATTACTCACGCATGTGGTTCCAATAAAAAAATCTGCTCAATTTATCGATAAAACATACTTTAATAAAGAATATAAAAGGAGTACACTCAGGAATAGTTCATCTTCATGATTTCATTTCAAGCGCAATGATTGTGGCGCCTCGTAAAAATTGTGTTCGTACTAAATAATTAACAAGATGTGAATTATCACCCGATGGTCAGTTAAGAAAACTACTTTATCATCAATAGTTAAATTAGATAATTTCTAAATATTGTTGGACATTGCTTGTTATCATAGACATAAAATATTAGCTCAGAAGTAAACATTCAACCTTATCGAAGCTCCACTTAGAAAATTTTTATCTGTATTTGATGAATACTTTGAAATTTAGAGATGAACATTTCTAAGGTCTTTCCGAATTTATCAGATCCATTTAAAAAAAATAAATGACTCGTGATATTTGTTAAACGCAAGCACTGTCAGCTGTGTCAAACCGCGTATGACACGTGGCTTCTTTTTTATACAACGATTGATAGTTGTTGGAAGTGTGATTAGACCTACACCTCTATTAAACAGAATGCTGAAGAGATCTGCGCAGAGTCCTCCGGAAAGGAAAGCGAAAATAAATCAAGATTCTCTCGCAAGTGTCAAATCAACTGATCGATCTAACCTCAAACTTGATCTTTCACAACCCAACATAATGCCGAAGACGGAACGTACGGCTAGCGATGATAAACATCGTCAAGTTGAATATTTAGAGACTCCCGTAAAATCGGAGAATGACAAGAAACAATACAGGTTAGACGAGAACAATACGTATCTACATTACATTTTTTTTTCCTTTTTTATAATGAGCACAATTATGCGTATGAAGTTATAATGAAATAAATTTATTTATCATTAAGGCGCGGTCATATCTCGTGCATATCTAATTACAATTTCGAGAAGAAAACTTTATGCTTTACAGGAAGAATTATGTTTTTTTGAAAATATTTTGCAATATTATTATCCTAATCCACAAATAAATATCATAATATACTGGAAATATACTCCAGTAGTTTGAGGAATAGGACAAATTTGTAAAAGGGTTAACTATGTATTGTACACGAGTGTTCTGATCATTTTTTCCATCTGATTTCTTCTATTGTAACATTTTACCTCTCTTTAGATTACAATGGTATTTTGAATATAGTTTTGTAGACATATTCTTTATCATATTTTTTCATCACACTTGCATAATTTAGATATAATTATGATGTTAAGAAGTAATTAAGGAATATTATTTTTTAATTTATGAAACTACAAAAAAGATTTTGCCAAATTGTGTGTAGCATGTGAATTTATATGCTATTTTAAAGATACATATTTTTTTACATATGTTTGATAAAGAATTTTTTTTTTTAATAAGTTTATTAAATATATTTTTTAGATAATATTTTATTAATTATAAACACTTTGTCTGGATTCTTATTCTGTCATTATTTGATATGTTTATCATAGAGTCATCAAACTACAAAATGGTTTGACAGCTTTGCTGATATCTGATGTAGAATCAAAAGTATGTTCTTCTCAAGATGATGATGAAGGTAAATGTGTGGATAATCTTACAATTTTAATGTAAGAAATACGCAGTTGGATTTTGTTGAGGTGTAATTAATGATGATTTATTAATGAACATAGGAAGTAGTGAAGACGAAACTGAAGATGACGAAAGCGATGAAGAGGATGAAGATGACGATGAAGATGACGACGAAGACAGTGAAGAAGATGCAAGTGATGAGTATGATGAAGAAGACACTTCTTCAGCAGCCAAACGAATTAAAAGAGACGAAAAAAAGGTATGAACAAGAGGAGCAAATTTGTACTTCACACGCATCTTGTGTTTCTTTTTCTTTATCTTTAATAAGAAGTAACGATCTTTCTTAAACATGGTTGGATGATAAATAAACTACTTTATATTTGAGTTTATATATAATGTTGCTGTACGTAATTTTTAAATAGGCAGCGTGTGGTTTATGTGTGGGAGTAGGCAGCTTCAGCGATCCACCGGAAATACCAGGAATGGCGCATTTTTTGGAGCATATGGTTTTCATGGGATCGGAGAAATATCCAGAAGTATTGAACTTGAGTAAATTTACTATAAGAAAATTAATTGTTCACACAGTTAAATGCGTACGTATTATCTTACTTGCAGGAAAACAATTTTGATGCATTTGTTAGCAAGCACGGTGGCTTTACTAACGCCTCGACGGACTGCGAACACACGACGTTTTATTTCGATGTTCAGGAGAAGCATTTCTTGTCAGCCCTCGACCGTTTTGCTCAATTTTTTATTAAGCCCTTAATGAAGGAAGATGCCATCTCGCGCGAGCGAGAAGCAGTGGAAAGCGGTATGTGTGTCATAATCGTGATACCATCGTCGCATTTCGTCGTCTTGATGTCGTACTTTTGTAGAGTTTCAGTTAGCCTTATCTAGTGATGAGAATCGGAAAGAACAATTGTTTTCCAGTTTCGCGCGCACTGATCATCCAGCCAACAAGTTTATCTGGGGCAATTTGATAACGTTGCGCGAGAATGTGGCTGATGATAAATTGTATGCAGACCTGCACAAATTCAGAGAACGTCATTACAGCGCTCACAGAATGAAGCTGACTGTGCAGGTAAGCATGAAAAATCCGCTTCGAAATCCGTTCATTATCTAATATTAAACAGTTTCGTAACGTGATACATTTGCTTGCAGGCGAGACTGCCGTTAGATACTCTTGAGAAATATGTCACTGACTGTTTCACCGATGTACCGAGCAACGGGCTACTTCCCGATGATTTTACCGAGTACAAAGACGGCGTTTCTTTCGACACTCCTGCTTTCCGAAGAATGTACAAAGTTAAGCCCGTCAAGGATTTTGGCCAGGTATGTTCTCAAAATGATTGTGTAATGAAACGATTAATCGTAATAATATATTGAAAAAAATTTATAGTTTTGATAATGTTTTCAGTCGAAAACTATTATTATTAATATATAAGGAATTAGTTCGTATGATATAAATCAAATTACTACAAATTGAAAGGCATCACGAGCAAACGCTGGATGTTAGTGCGAGGATTGTTAATAATTTTCATACAGAAAATTAATTTTTGTCTACTAGAGACATTATTTAAAGTGTACACGATCTCGGATTCGAGATACTAAACTGTACGAACATTACATACATTGATTTCATTTTCGAGAATCTAAATGTACGAAATGAAGGAAAAAAAGGAAGTTTCTAGAAAGAAGGAAGAATGAGAGAAAAATATCAATCAATGTATGTAATGTTCGTACACTTTAGTATCTCGAATCCGAGATCGTGTACACTTTAAATAATGTCTCTAGTAGACAAAAATCAATTTTCTGTATGAAAATTATTAACAATCCTCGCACTAACATCCAGCGTTTGCTCGTGATGCCTTTCAATTTGTAGTAATTTTAAAACTATTATATTCTTTTTGGTAAAAAAAAATACAAATTAATTTCAACGGTGGTGAATATTAAATTTCTTATTCAAATATAAACATAAAAAAGTATTAGATTTTTGTAATGTAAAAATATATATGTAAAATCATTGTAATATCTTTTTTTGTAGTTAGAATTAACATGGGTCATGCCTTCGCTGCACGATTTGTACCAAAGTAAACCGCATCAATACATCTCGTGGATTATCGGGCACGAAGGACGTGGCTCTTTAATTAGTTATCTGCGTAAGAAAATGTGGGCCTTCGATATGTACAGCGGTAACAGCGAGAACGGCTTCGAGCACAGTTCTATGTACGCCTTGTTGAAGCTTACCGTGTTGCTCACCGACGAGGGGCAGGCGCACTTGAAAGATGTACTGGATGCGATATTTCAGTTCATCAACTTGATGAAGAAAGAGGGTCCGCAGAGAAGGATTTACGACGAGATTTATAAAATCGAAGAGAATAACTTTAGGTAAAGAAACGAATCCGCAAAAGATGAATTTCGAAAGAGAAATTACGAAATGCTGTGAAATAACATATAAGACCTGCTAAATCTTTCCAGATTCATCAACGAAGAGGATCCAGCCGATTACGTGGAGGATCTGTGCGAGTGCATGCATTTCTATCCGCCGCGCGATTACATAACCGGCAGCGAACTTTACTTTGAGTACAATGAGGCGGCTATACAGAAGTGCTTGGACTATTTAACGCCGGAAAATGTAAACATTATGATCTTCGATAAGAAGTTGAGCGATGAAGAACTGGACAAGGTCGAGCCTTGGTTCAGTACCAAGTACACAGACACGGAGATACCGCAGGAATGGATTGCGTGTTGGAAAAAGTCATTCTCCTCCGAGACTCCGTCTTCAACACCCCTTTTTCACTTACCTCTGCCGAATGAATTCCTTACCAACGACTTCTCCTTGATACCGTTGGAGGAAAACGTTCCGAAATATCCCGTTAAAATACATCGGGATAATGTACACGAGATTTGGTATCGTCCAGATCCCAAGTTTCGTCTGCCAGAGTGTTACATGAACTTCCTTCTTGTTTCTCCTCTTGGTTTTAAATTGTCGGAGAAGTAAGTAACAATACGGATAGATATTAACATATACATGGTGTCTCGATACTCCGTAATGACAAATGTTTTTTGCCTCTAATTTTGAAGAGAATATCTGTCACGAATTTCTACTGTTTATATACATAATTTGACTTTAAATTAATTAATCATTAATATTGATCGAATGTTCCGAAACATCCTGTACATTAATTTCTATCTTGATCATCATACACGCTTTATATTATTTGCACGTTATTTAAAATAATGTTCACACTGATGTTGTAGTGTAGCTCTCATGGCGTTGTACGTTAATGTATTAAAACTGCTATTAGTGGAAGAATTATATTCAGCTACAACAGCCAGGCTTGACTATAGCATTATTGCCTGCGAAAAGGGTATCATTATAAAATTAGACGGATTTAATGAGAAACTGCCAGTAAGTATTTGATTATGAGTTATTAGAATTTATACTGCGTCGTTGTGTAACACGTAATTTTATATTTTCCAACTTCGATAAGCGAATATTTAATTTGATTGTGTCAATCAAATTGTACTTTACCCAACAAAGAAGGTAGATTGATTTGGAAAACTTAAAATTGTTTATTACACAACTTAATAGATACGATTTTTTGATATACTAACATTCCACTCGTGTTGCAGCACTTATTGATGACTATTGGCAAATACATAGCGGACTATTCGAATTTCGATAACAAGGAGTTATTCGAAGTGGTGAAACGGCAGCAACTCAAGGAATATTACAATACGTTCATCAAACCCGGGAAACTCGTCAAGTACTCGCTATTTATTCTCGAACAACGATTATTAAAATTCAATAATCAGAAGAACAATGAATTATAAAATCGCATTTCCGTTGATTGGTCAATAATGCATGTGCATTCTTTCGCAGGGATGTGAGATTGTCGATACTCAAGCTAGTTCATTATACGAATGTCGATATGCACAACAGTCTACGTAACGTTGATTTCGAAAAGTTTAAAAACTTTGTCAAGTCCTTCACCGATCATTTGTACATACAGTGCCTTGTGCAAGGCAATATTACGCGGAGTGCCGTGGAGCAGAATGTACAACAGTTCGTCAAAATAATTAATTGCGGACAGCTGCTGCCTACTATGAAGCCGCAGATGAAAGTTATGGAGATGCTGTTGGGCAGCCACTACTGCAAGCTGAAGAACATTAATAGAACCGACGTGAATTCTGTAGTGACCAATTACTATCAGATCGGAGTCGCGTCGATAGAGCTAACAGTGTTGGTCGATCTACTGATTGTAAGTGTTAAATCTCACTGCTTCACAGTTTACACTTGGATTTTCTTCGATTTGTATACAATTCAAATTCTGTATTTATGCAGAAACGTATTGCTACGAAATAACGCACTTTGCGTATAAAGATCGCAGCGTGATTCTACGTCAGATTTTATAAATGACACTTGTCAGATATTAATTTGTACAGTTGACTTCATTCACACCTCACGTTCACCTTTTCAGATGGTGATGAAAGAACCGTTGTTCACTCAGCTCAGAAGCAAAGAGCAGCTCGGCTACGACGTCTCCTGCATTCTCCGAGATATCTACGGGATATTGGGATATTCTGTTACGGTTCACACTCAGGCGGATAAATACACGACCGACCATGTGGACAAACGAATCGAGGAATTCATGAAGTCACTGGACAAAATTTTGCAAGAGACCACCGAGGAGGAATTGGAATCCCTCAAGGAGACGCTGAGGAAGATGAAACAGTGCGCCGACATCGATTTGGAGGAAGAAGTTAGCAGAAATTGGATCGAGATCACAAGGTGGCAATACATGTTTGACAGACTCGAGAGGGAAACGCTCGCGATAAAGAACATAAAAATCGACGAACTGAGACAATTCGTCGCGAAATATATGCTGAAGGGAAGTAGCTTGAGAAAATTGAGCGTGCACGTAGTGGGAACCGATCCGAAGCAGAACGCAACGGATAGTAAGTACCTTTCGTATGCCATTGTAATGTTTGTGTATTTATTTTATTATGTTTTACTTGTTTGTGTATGCGTGCGTGCGCGCGCGCGCGCGATTCGATTGTTTTTAAGGATGTCATACGGCTAAAACAGAAATTAATTGTGTTACGTTATTACAGACGTTGATGAAGATCGCGAAAAGACGGAATACTCCTTAGAATATATAACCGACGATCAGCAGCATGTGAAATCCCTAATCGTTACCGATATTGACGCTTACAAGAAGCTTCTTTCTACCTTTCCAGTAAGTGAGGAGATCAATTTTCTCGATTCATTCCCGAATGAATGACGCTCTCTCTCTCTAACAACATAATATAATTAGTAATGATAATGAAATAATAAAGATTGCACTGCCGTGAAAAGAAGAACATTACGAATAATTTTTCGTAAGTTTAATACTCTAGATTTACTGCTTCTTTTTTTCATACAAGCGCATGTTGTAATACGAATATTTGAAATTAATTACATAAAAGAATATGTACAATTGAAATAAATTAATTGTTGCTTATGTTTAAATCTGTAGATAAAAATGTATTTCTTATGTCAATTTAAAATAAATTTATTAATTATATGAGCTTCTTGTGTTTCTTTTCTATTCACACTTGTGGAAAAAGAATTCAAAAAAGCCACTTGATATTTTCAAATATTACACTTTAAAAAGTACTGAAAAGAAATACAGGACTATTAAAATAAATTCTCCAACTCGTAATAAAATTCCATAAGAATTCTTAAGCTTTTTCAGAAAAAAAGAAGACTTCTAGAAAATAGATACGTATATATATATATATTCAAATATAAATAAATAATATATAATTCATGACATCATATATTTGTCTGCGATATCAAATAGCATACGAGATGATTTGAATAAAATTTGATATCACGGATTACCTTAAATTAAAAGAAACAACTTATATATATCCGCATGTTCTTATCTTTTACGTGAACCATTATAAAAAAACGCAAAGCAGTAGTGATAAGGATTATTACACAGGAAATAAATTTGTGAAAATAAAGTATTCGCTCAGAATGCAATTTTTTATATTCTTTTAATTATATTCAAGACATGACAACACGTTTTCAATAAATCATTAAACTTCCGAAAATGTCAGCCAACCATATCCGAGAACCCCCTCGCCTCCGTCCTTCCCCTCGCCCCCTTTCTACTCGTGCTAAGAGCTTCCTTACAAGACTCGCTTGAAGATTTGTCGTCTTACAAAAGCCACATCATGTCGCGCAAGGCTCCTTCTTTTATAAACTCAACAAGAGAGGACTCTACGAATCTTAAATACTCTAATTCTGCGTGTGTATGTGTGTTGTGAGAGGTTGCGCTTATAGAAGATAAATGAAGGATCGTAATATTTACGCTCTTGAGGAAAAGGAAGAAACTTAAATCGATCTGCCGATTGGACCAATTACTCTGTTTTCCCTTGAAAAGAATGTATTCCGGCGACGCGCGGCGGACCGCGCGGCATGCGGTCAGCGTTCGAGAAGACAAACAGAGTACTTGCGTTCCAAAAGCCAGATTTACAGCGAGTTTATTAATAATGCAATTTAAATATTTCTAAATCGTTACAACATCCATTAAGAGTGCATTTCGCATTTTATACTTCGAATAATCATTGTATATATCGTTTTTTTTTCTTTTTTTTTCCTTTGCGGTAGTATTATAGAGTTGCCACTACATTTATATTTAATTATTTACCTGCTACTCTCCAAATATGTATCCATTTTTTAAAAGTAGTTTAAATGTGACTTTAGAGTTACGATATTCTTTTTTTTTTTTTAATTATTTTCAGTTGCCTCGTGTTCTCACCAGCACTGATTCTCTTTGTATCCTCTCTTCCTATGCTTGTGTGTCTTTCTTTTCCGTCTTTTTACTCGTTTAAATCATGTGATAATCCCGAACTCATGAAAGTTGCGCGAGTAATAGTTTTGCTCAGAGAATTTTCCCATTTTTTTTTTTTTGCACCTGCGATCTCTCAGCTCTTAGCTCTCCTTGAACTAGCGAAAGCATTTAGAATCAGCTCTGCTCGACACTAGACATGAAATGGGGTACATGTTACAACAGTAAGTGTTTACAATGGTATTAATAATCCAACAAGAATACACATCAATGTGGCTGCGTTTATATAAAATGCGTGGACCGTCGAATGGGCCGGCTGCGCGCGGCGCGCAGTGGATGATCTCTCGAATTCCGTGGTTAATTGCTCGGTTAATCAATTAATAAATTCGCGTTAGATGCGGTTCTTGTGCTGGCGTGCTACTTCATTTATATACGAATCCCGTTTCTCTTTCTCTGATAATGGCGATTGAATCTTGGAAATGTATCGTGAAAAAATTGTTTCGAGATTTGCGCACCGCATTGTCTCACCACTGACCGACCCATCGGAGTCAAATTATATGATTATTGATAACAGCTTAGCGCATGTATAATTTTTGAATCAATGAACGATTCCTTTCTCTTCCTCTCTCTCTCTCTCTCTCGACCCTTTGCTCTCGTAAACCGGAAACTCGTACGATATTCCGGACATACTACAATTATTCTTTCAGAATTTTTTGAAGGGCGTTTGCTCACATAAGTACACCTACGCAGGTGTGGTATACGCTTTTTGTTTTATACATATTTCATGCGCTTTTGCATTGTTACACATTTTTCTTTCTTCAATTATAGGAAGAGAAAATAAAAACGAAAAAAAAAAAAATAAACATACTAATGATTATCAAACATACATGTTACCGCGCGTTATGCGTATATAATCCTTTTCTTCTCTCAGCTATGAAAAATAATAGCAGAATATACGTTATGTAATATTTAATAATATATAAGGTGTGTGTGTGTCGGGGCCCACATGCGTTTTTTTTTCAGCTACATCGATAAGTGTTTAATTCATTTTTTTTTTACTTTTTACTTTATTACATTATACTTGCGTTTGCTATCGTTATTTTAGTTTATATCTCGTATTACGTATATAAGCAAAACTACTTTAAGGAGAACTTAAAATTTATGAACGTTCGAGAGCGCATTATAGCACGAAAACCCGCAGGCTTCTCTCCATCTCGTTATCGCTTCTTATGCTGGATTATTATGAAAAATCGACTCTCTACTCATATAAGGCTACAGCAAGTTAAGAAATAAGAGAAACGCGAATGGTACAATATATCCATCATTGTGTTTACATCTAAAGTATATGTGAAACGTAATAATACATTCTCTTTTTTTTTTTTTTTTTTTTTTTTTT